AGAGAGGCCCTGGACTAACGTCAACTGATCTATTTCGAGCTGCTCTGAATAGAATAAGATGGATCAATGTGGTCGCCAATGTGGAACTCGGAGAAAAATGGAAAAGTTTTGAATGACTTGCTTTTTAATGAGTGCTGTCGATTTTTTGTTATGAAACGACTTAATTAACGCTGTCATGCTTCTTCTTGTAGTTCCTTCTCCTATCGGAGGTTGGCTATCATCACAACTATCCGTACCTTATTGGCGGCTGCTCTAAAATGATCTACTGAGCTGCAACTATACTACTCTCTTAGGTTTCTCAGACAGGAAATTCTTCGTCTTTCTATGAATATTTTACCCTTGATTTTATCTTGAATTAATAGCTTTAATATCTCATATTTATATATAGTCCCAAGATTCCTAAGAGGAACATAGGGCTTCCACAAAGTGTCTCCAGCGAACTCTATTTCTGGCTAGTGCTTTGATTTCAAGCCAGGATTTTCCCATTTTTTTCCCTTCGTCCAGTACTGTCCTTCTCCAAGTTCCCTTAGGTCTGCCTACTTTCCGTCGGCCTTGGGGATTCCAATCCAGCGCTGTCCTGGCAATGTCATTTGGCGGTCTACGGAGTGTGTGGCCCAGCCATCTCCATTTTCTTCGCCTTATTTGCTTTATGGCATTTTCTTGGTTGCTTTGGTTCCATAAATTTTCATTGGAGATTCGGTTAGGCCAAAATATACGAAGAATTTTTTGTAACGCTCTATTGATGAACACTTGTAATTGGTGTTCTATGGGTGCTGATATCTTCCACGTTTCGCAGCCATACAGTAATACAGCTTTTACATTTGTGTTGAAGATTTTTAATTTCGTTTTAGTTGGGAAAATCTTGGATTTCCATATGTTGTTAAGCATGTTGTAGGCGTTGCGAGCCTTATTTATTCTTTCATGTACATCACGCTCTGTACCCCCATTACAGTCAATTATGCTGCCCAGATATACAAATTCCGCTACTCTCTCAATTTTCTGGTCATTGATGATAATAGGTTGGTTGTTTCTGGTATCAAATCGCATTTCTTTAGTTTTGTTGATGTTTATTTCTAGACCAACCTTCTTTGATTCTTCTTGTACTTTGTTTACTTGGAGTTGCATGTCCTGTTTTGTATGTGCTAGGAGGCATATATCATCAGCGTAATCTAGGTCTTCCAGTCTGTTTGTTAATCCCCAGTAAATTCCTCTATTAGAGTTTACCTTTGTTAGTACGGAGCCCAGTACAATGTTAAATAGTATGGGGGATAAAACACAGCCCTGCTTTACTCCGTTTAGCATAGCTATGGGATCAGATGTTATGCCGTTGTGTGGGATTTTGCTTTCTGTGTCACTGTAGAGTTCTTTGATGAGATTTACTATTTTTTCTGGTATTCCTATTTCCTGCAGTGCTTTCCATATAGTCGTATGTGTGAGCGTGTCAAAAGCTCTCTTGAAGTCCACAAAGAGAGGAGAGTTGAATTCCTGTGACTGTTCTACAATTATTCTTAGTGTGTTAATTTGGTCCACGCATGATCTGTTTGGTCTGAAACCGGCTTGTTCCTTCCTCAACATTGGTTCTACACTGTTTGTTAGTCGGTTGTTTATAATTATTGCTGTTAATTTATTTATAGTATTCAGAAGTGTGATTCCTCTCCAGTTTTCGCAATATCTTCTGTTACCCTTTTTTGGTATCTTTATTATTAATCCCGTTTTCCATTCTTTGGGGAACTTTTCCTCTCTCCAAGCCCTTTTCAAGAGTGGTTGGATTAGCTCTGCCACTGTACCTGGGCAAGCTTTTAACAACTCTGGTGGAATATTGCCAGGGCCGGCTGCCTTGTGTGCTTTCAGTTTTTCTATGGCCATTTCTATTTCTTGCGTTGTTGGTTCGTTATTAATTCTCAGTTGGATATTGGGTATTAGGTTTTCTGCGTCTTCTGGTGGTGTTGGGACTGCACTTAGAGATTCGCTAAAATATTCATGCCATCTTTTGATTTGTTCCTGTGGCGTTGTAATATCTTTAGCACTTTTTACCTGTAGCACTTTTTACAATTGGTTGGTGGGTAGTATATCTTTTATTGGCTAGTTGTTTAGTGATATTATATAATTGTCTCATGTTTTGATGTTCATCGGCGACTCGCGCTTCTTCGGCAAGATTTTCTGCCCACTTTCTTTTGTCTTTCTTTGCTGCCTTCTTGACAGCTTTATTCGCTTCTCTATAACTTTCTCTAAGTCGGTTCTTCTCTGCTGCTGTCTTGGAATTTAGTAATTCTAGATTAATGTGTTTGCGACGTTCTATTTTGTTCCACGTTTCTCTCGTAATCCACTCTTCCTTTACGTATTTCTTTAGGCCCAGCACGTTTTCACTTGTTTCCACAAGGGCTTTGCTAATCGTTTCCCAATTTTTGTCCTGTCTTTCGTCGATTTTGGTTCTCAGCTGTCGTGCGAATTCTACTTTCGTCTCGTTATTTTGTAGTTTCTCAATGTTGAACTTTTTTCGAATAGGTTTGTTCAGTTCTTTTCTATTCCTAGCTATTTTGAATCTAATTTCGGCCATCATCAGGTAGTGATCACTGGCCGCATCTGCGCCTCTCCATGATCTGACATCTAAGAGAGATGTTCTCCATTGCTTACTGATTGCAACGTGGTCGATTTAATTGTAGGTGCGGTTATCTGGCGATTTCCATGATACCTTGTGGATTGTTTTGTGTGGGAACAAAGTCCCTCCAATGATTATGTCATGGTTACCACATAATTCAATGAAGCGTTCGCCGTTGTTGTTTCTCTGGCCAGTGCCATGCTTTCCGATAACGTGTCCTAGGTTGGTGTTGTCAGTGCCAAACTTGGCATTGAAGTCTCCCATCATTATTTTTATAACGGATCTTTTAATTTGTTTTAATGTTGCTTCAAGGCATTCGTAGAAATCCTCTTTTTCTTGTTATGTTGCTTGTTCTGTTGGTGCATAGCACTCCATTCCACAAGAGAATTTTTTGTGACTTTACTAAATAGAATTCCTACTCCATTTTCATGTCTTCCGCCATCTGTTTTACCAGAGTATATCAGCAGGTCGCCTTCCATGTTGACGTGCTCTCCCGTCCCATTCCACCGTGTCTCACTGAGACCTAGTATATCGACTTTATATGCTTTCATCTCTCTACAAATTTGGGCAAGGCGTGATGCTTGCATCATAGTTTTTATGTTCCAATATCCGATTCTTGTCCGTTTGCGTAAGCCAAACGTCGTTATTAAAGGATCCGTCCGGTTGTTCTCTGTAGATAAATATCTCATATTTAGCACCTCTGATAATGTGGCCTAAATATTTCAGCTTTATTGTTTTGATGTGCTTTATGACCTCGCAACCCTTTTGTAGCCTTCCCAACACTTCTGCATTTGTAACTCGTTGGGTCCATGGTATTTTCAAAATCCCTCTATAGCACCACATCTCCAATGATTTCAACTTCTTTATATTATCCACTTTAGTGGATAATATAATACTTGGAAGCATGGATATTATCAAATGTAGACCAAACCAAAGAAATTAAGATACGTATTAAAATAGCAAGTGCATCATTTGTTAAACTTAAAAAAGTTTCTTTGTTGTCGGGATATAAGATTAAGACTATGCCTAAGGATGCTTCGTTGTTATGTGTTTCTCTACTCTTCTTTATGGTTTGAAAGCATGGACATTAAAACAAGTGCATCTGAATAAGTTGGCCGCCTTTAAATTTTGGTGTTACAGAAATCCTGCGAATATCATGAACTCAAATAATGTCAAACTTAGAAGGATAGGAAATGAAGCGGAAATAACATTGACGGTCAAAATAAAAAACTTAAGTACTTAGGACATCTGATAAGAGAGCAAAACTACTCACTACTGGATTATATTATAGAAGGCAAAATTCGAGGAAAGCGAAATGTGGGAAGGCGAAGAACATCATGGCTTAAAAATTTGAGGGAATGGTTTCAATGCAGTAAAGCAAATTATTTAGAGCGGTGGCCAACAAAATCTGCTAGCCATGATGATTTCCAACCTTGATCGAAGATTAAACTTAAAGAAGATGAAGATGATATGCAAGCGTGCACTTGGGGGAAAACTTGTGCACCACACTGTTGAAATTATAGTATGTAGGGCAGGTCAATTATATTGTTCATCAGAAGCAGCATTGCCGGCGTGTGTTTTATCCAGGAGGTGAAACATTCACATTTCTGTCATATAAGGACGTTTCTAACCCACTTTTTTAGCATAAATCCAGAATTACGTTGGCTCATTTTGAAGACAAACTCGATTTTTATTACGATTGGCTTTCTCGATTAACGAGAATGACAATGTCTAACTTAAAAGTCAGCGTTAGGATTCAGGTAGCAAATTCGTGATCCTTTGATATAAAGGATGAACTTAGACAACACATACGCTGATGACATTGACATAATGGTGCATAGCAAGCGAGATTTGAAGCAATATTTCCTAGAACTGTAAACGGATGCCTGACAACATGATTTCTAAAAAGCTAACGACAGGAACACCTATAGGAAGAAGAAGCAGAAGCCGATCGCGAATTAGATGGTTAGATGGTCGCAGATAATTGTCGAGTCAAAGATGATGATGATGATTGTTAGTTTTATGAATTAGTGGTAAAATCACAGCATTCTATATTTATCGAATTACTTCAAAATTGTTTGGTACAGAGAAGTTTTATTTATTTAAGACCTTCGTAACTAGATCAAATATCGAGTGTTACATATGGTTGAACTGTTATTGAAGTGAGGGCTCAAATAATAGTACAATATATATAGTGTTATATTTCAAAAAACCAAATTGACTAATAATATCAGAAAAACAGTAAATCTGATAACATATAAAAATATTTGTCAACCGTTTGGAACTAAACAAATTTAAATAGAACACTTACCGGTTAAATCTGGTAACCTTGGATAAAACATGCCAGTCCTTGCAAACCATTCCAATTGCATTTGATGAATGTGATTTTGGTTGTGGTGTCCTACGGGATATGAACTTTTTGAACCATACTTCCATCTAGCGAGTGGAATGCGGAGCTTTGGTTTTGCGACTGATACCCATAAAATCCTCCTCCGTTGGGATAGATGTGACTCAGTAATCCTGGCCTTGGAACAAATGTGCTTTGCGGTATTTCTTCGCTGCCAGGGGATATAGGAGGACTTCTACTTCTCGTGGAAGTTGGGGATATACTTCGTGAGGTTTCTGGAGAATTGACCTGGTCTCGATCTGTCGTTCTGGTTATTATGGAATCTGTCCTGGCAAGTAAAGCATCCGATCTAGATAATAAAGCATCTATACAGAAGGATGGTTTGTTTTCTTGAAGTTTGGTACTCATATCTAGAGATCTGGTTTGGTATTGTGGGGATAATATTTGACGGTGATCCGAATCCAAGTATTGCGCCATATTAAGTTACTCACACGCTTAGGTGAAATAACTGAAACAAATAAATAATATTATATAGTATAAATTAGTCGCTGAAGAAGATTTGCTGTTATATGCATTTATTTTTTTAAACAAAAAAGATTTCTTGCAATTTTTTTCTAAATTTGATCATTTTCGAGTTATAAATAATTTAAAACAGAAAATAAAACGAAATATTGACGATTTTCAGGCTCAAAAACACTAGTATAACATATTAATTTTAAAATCATACATGTATATACAATCGGTTTAGAACGTCTTTCGATGTTTTCTGATGCCCAATTTCCATTCACGTCGGTTGTTCCATTCTCGTCCACAAGTGCTTTGAAGGTCATTGATTTTCTTATTACTTCCATCCAAGTTTTCTTCAGTCTCCTTCTACCCTAACTTCCCGTAGGTGTTCATGCGAGCACTTTTTCGGGAGGATATTGTTTTTAATTCGCTGTACAAGCCCACATCATACAAGCTTCGTTTTTTATATGTTATTCATTTCTTTATCCTGATTTCTTCGTTTCTTATTCTCTCCAATTCCGTGGCTTCTATCTTTCTTCAGTTTCTCTCTGTGAATCGCCACGGTTCATATTTGTTTAATAGAATATTATTTATTAGAGTTTTATTTATATTAAACTTTTTCTTTTTTGTTATATTCTTATCCCAGAGAATTCCGTTAAGGTATCCTAGAACTTTTTTGGCTTATACTATTCTGGTGTTAAATTCTTAGTATTCTATTCTTTTTCGTATTTCTAAATATTGTTTGTAGATATTCGTTATTATATTGTCCGTTGTATTCATCAACAATCTCTCCTTGTTGTTATTTAAGATTTGCTGGGTCTGTTCCAATGCTGAAATGTTTGGTTTTTTGGTAATAAATACTAGTCTCAATTTTTGATATTCTACAGCTTACTTCGTTTGCTATCGATCATCTGAAAATTATTGCGTATATATGTAGGTAAGCATTATTCAATTCTATTTCCATACAATTCTTCTTCTTCTTCTTTTTGTAGTAGTAGTAGCTATCCACTTCGGACGTTAGCGACCATCATGGCAATCTGTATTTTGCAATCTACTGCTCTTAAAAGATTTATGGTTGCTGTGCTGAACCACGTACGAAGATTTTTCTCCCAGGAAATCCTTCGCCTTCCTGGTCCTCGTTTTTCTTTTAGTTTTCCTTGTAGAATTAATTGCAGCAACCCATATCTTTCGCTGTTCCTGTACATCAGGACATTTGAATAGCTTGGCCATTTTTTAAAATGTAGATCTTGCTAAATGGTTCTATTTTTTATTGACGTTCGTACCAAGGTAGGTTTATGTTTTTACTCTTTCTATTGGTTGACCATTCAGACTGATTTTTTCAATTTGCTGTTCCTTCTTAGAGATCATCATACATTTTGTTTTCTTAATGTTCATTGAAAGTCCATATCTCTGACTCCCTTAGGTGAGTCTATTCCTTAACTCCTGAATGGCTTCATAACTGTCAGCGACGTGTTATCTACGTATCTGATGTTATTGATACTTCTTCTTCTTTGGAAGCTGTGTCCGTATTCAGACGTTGGCCGTCATCATGTTTACAATTTCCTGAAACCTTTCTCTGTCGGCTGCTGCGCGAAATAATTCTTCTACTGTGTAACCACACCATTGTCTAATATTACGTAGCCGTGAAAGTTTCTTTCGACCAACCCATCTCTTTCCTTCCACTTTTCCTTGTATTATAAGGTGAAGTAGTATTTAGGTCCTCTAATTATATGGCCCGAAGTATTCAGTTTTTCTCCTCTTTATGGTGTTTATGAGCAGATCTCCGTTATTGATACATTCTCCGTTAATTTGAATTCCGGTTTCAATATTCTCTACTGCTTCTTGAAAGATTTGCTCAGAGTATATGATAAACCACAAGGATGATAGTATACATTCCTGTCAAATCCCACGTTTCATTTTGATATCATTGGATTCTCCTGCCTCTCTACGGATAGACGATGTTTAATTCCTCTAAAGATTGATAATAATTCTTAGATCACAGGTGTTTATTCAAATATTTTTTAAAATCTTCATCAGCTTGTCGTATTATACTGTATCGAACGCTTTATGGTAATCGATGAAGCATGCATAAATATCGCATTTCACATCTCTACATCTTTAAAATAGCACTTTTATGCTAAAAAGAGTCCCTTTCGTACCACTGCGTTCCGAAAACCAAACTGTGTACGGCTGATTTTTTCTTCGCCTAGTCTATATATCCTATGATGTAAGATTTTTAGAAATAACTTTAAAATGTGGCTCAATATGCTAGTATTTCGAAAATCATTGCAGGATATGAATTTTGTTTTCTTTGGTAGAGCGATAAACGTTGAATTCAGCCATGATCTTGGTATTTCTCCGTTTAAATACGTCATTGAATATTTTTGTTAGTCCTTGAGTACCGTCGGTGTTAAATAGCTTTATGAGTTTAGAGTATGCATTGTCAGGTCCAGAAGCTTTGCATCTTTTAGTTGTGATATTGCTTTTTCCACTTCATCTAATGTGATTGGTAAGTGGTAATTACATATTATGTAGGATGAAGATTATTCGGATCTATTATCATCAAAGAGTTTTTGTCTTTGTATTTGGTCCATATGCATATTTCTTGATTTTATCTAGGAGTGACGTTCCCTTGTTGATCTTACAGTTTGCTAGATGTGTTGGATTTTTGAAGACCAGCTGCTTGTTTTAGATTTTTTGCATATTAAATGTATCGTGTTTTTGTTTCAATCTCGTTAAATTGTGTTTTTAACCAATTTTCTTTTGTTTTTCGTATTTCGGTTCTTATTTGCCTCTGAACATTTTTGTACATTCTTCTATTATTCTTTGGTTATCTTTTTTCTTCCATGGGTTGCAGTATATTGTCATTGATCCAACTTTTCCTCTTATCTTTATTTTCTATAAGATGTTTTTCTCTGTTCTTGTTAAAGGTTTCATCACATAAATTCTGGAGTGTTTCTTCTGGATCATATGTTTGCTCCATGTTACTGAGCTTTTCTAAAAGAATCTCTGCGACTGTTTCGTTGTTTCCTTTGTTTCTTTATATTTTAGTCTTCTCTTATCACATTTTTTTATTACTATTCTTTTTTGTAACCTTTTTAAATCTAAACCTAAATTTACCAATAACAGGAATATGTTATTATTATTATTATTATTTTCTTTTAAATTTTTTTAAAAGCTGTTGTTATTATTCTAATCTTTTCATTTTTTGCTATCAATTCTTGATAGCCACAATTCCTTCGCTTCTTTGATTTTTTGTTTGATTGTTTTGTTAACATTTTTGCATTGATGTTCGTTTTTATTCTTGTATTTCCTCCTTTTTGATATCAATGACTTTATTTCTTGTGTTATCTATTGTTTTCTTTTAGGGGATGTATCACTCTCCAGCTGTTGTTGTCTTTCTACTTTCTGGACCTCCTTGCGTAATTGTTCTTTGATCTGAGAAGAGTACTTATTGTATATGTAGGAAAATTATGTATATTTTACTGCAAGCGTCACGAGTGAGATTGATTCGGACCCTTGCAAAAATATACAGGCATATTGTATTGTAAATAAAAGTATTCACATTAAAAGTTAAAACAAAATTTCTCCTTCGCAGGAAATCGAACTCCAGTCATTTACGTGACAAGTAAAAAAAGTAAACAGACGTACAGATAGCCACAGTTTTAGTGACGTCAATCCAAATTGAATTGAAATTTTTTTATACTGATTTCCTTACAATTTAATTTTTATTTTTTACCTTTTAAACCTTCCTTGGACTCATAAAATTATTTTTAAATTAAAATTGCTTTAATAACAAATATTTACGAGTTTCAAAGGGTAACAACTCTCTAATAACGTTCTGTGAAGATGCCATACATATTTTTGGTCATAAAATAATATTTATTTTAATTCCAAAGTGTAACAATTCTAGTTGTTTCATTTTATAACTGATTTATTTTCTTAAGCGATATATTTTTTCAGTTCCAAAGCGTAATATTTCTAAATTTTATACTTTAAAATTGGTTGTTGACTTGGTTGACTTTTCGAGCTTGACATAGCCAATTCCAGTTCCGTAGGTCGCTTATAGATTTAGATCTCCGACAAAGAGTTTTTCCAAAGATACTTGTATAATTTTGAGTATTTTGAACATTTTGAATAAAGTGGATCAAAAACGTGATTTTTTTTTTATATGAGCTGCGTGTATTTTACAGATAGACTGCCAAAATGAAGGATTCTACAAGTTAAACAATGTTACGATAACAGCTCCTGGCGTAAATAATGAACCAGTATCTGATAGTAGTAGTAGCAATACTTTAAGAAGGTCTACAAACCGTCTCTACTAGCCTTTTAAGTGGACTAAGAATATAAAAAATATATGGGCAATTCTTTTATATATGGGCAAGCTTTTACAAATTCCACTGGGAAAGAGATTCCAGCTCGTATAGTGTAAGGATATTGCACTGAGAAATGCAAACTAAATGTCCGACGAAAATAACTGACGACCAGGGGCAACAGATTTACATAAGTTATTGGTCTTTATCAGACATCAACAAACAACGGGACTTCTTAGTTAAAATATTAAACCTATCAGGCCTAAATATTCTACAAAGCAGCCTGGAAATAAAAGGACATGCAATTATGGATACTGTTTCAGTTCACATAAAAATAAGAGTCTGTACCGTCCAAGGATAGATAATGAAAAAAATAATTTTGCAAGAAGGCACATAGATTCTTTCCTTGTAATAGAATCTCATTACTGCCGAGTACGCACGCAAAAAATATATTTACCAGGGGATATGAACTTATCTGAAATGGATCGATTGTATTTGAAGCAGTGTACAGCAAATAATTGTTTTTTTCAGTCAAAAAAAGATGCATGTTGTTTCTGTAAACATTTTAAAAATCTAACTAATCCAGGGAAGCTGAAAAACTAGGAAAACTTTGATACTCACATTAATGAAAAGAACCAAAGTCGATCAGAAAAAGAA